GTCTGACATAGATAGCTACAGTTTCACCTGGATTTATCAACATAATCAGGAAGAGAAATTCAGCCGGCTACTACCAATGAGGTTTTTGTTTTATTTATTGAATAATAACAACTACCTTCTAAAGATTTCCTGAGGCTTAAATGAATTAGTTTTTATTTAGAATGTAGGATAATATGTGGCTCATGTATTATGTGAGCATTAGATTTTTTTAGGATGACTGTTCACCTTATCAACCTAGAAATAAAACACAAATAAATACCAGAGGGTCAGGAAGGACTATCCAGGGGTCCCATCTGACAGGCCTAAGATACTTCACTTAAGGAGAAACCTTAACCTTATATAATCAACTCACATGAAGCTGTTAGGTCAATTTCGCAGGAACCATTACCAAGGCTGTTGATAGCTGTGCACTGGTAATAACCTTTTTCAAAATTTGTCAGATTTCCAATAACCAAAATCCCGGTGTCTGGGTCTGTCAAAGCAGGAAATAAACTTCAAATCTCTTATGTGAGTACAAATCATGCCAGTAGAAGGTCTCACTACATGCCCACCCACTTCCCCACACTGGCCTCTCAAATCTTCAGAAGTCCAGAGTCCAATTAGACCCGTTGGGACTGTTCTAAATGTAGTCCATTTGGAGCCATACTTGTTTCCTCCATACCCACCCCACCTCTGAGCCAAAAATGAACCACCTTCTAGAAGCTGGAGGGAAGACCAGACCACAGTTAGTGGGGGACATAACTTTTTACCCCATCCCAAGGAAAACAGAAGATTGAGATCTATAGACAAGCAGCCAGCACACATGCTTCCGTGGAGCTGCTGAACGTTAGACTTACTGAAGCTTTCTTTCACTGGAATGATGTCTTTTCCCTCACGTTTGTACCAGTAGTATGCAGGAGCAGGTGTTCCAATCATAGAGAGGCAAGTGAGTGAAACAGGATGACCAGTTTCTGGTATTCCTTGAATACTACAAAAGGGCTTAGAAGGTTTGACTGTAAAGCAATGACAAAGAGTGAAAACTTTGCAGGATGAATGGCAGTCTGCAACAACTGCAGTCACTTCCTCAATTTCTGTTTGCATAATGTGTATTAAAAATCTCTGAAAACATAGTCTGACAATTTTCTGATTACACCACCAGGTGGGAGTAGAGCATTTCAAGAGCAAGGAAACTTCTAGTCACAAGGTCATTAAGATTCAAAGAGTGTTTCCTCTGTCTGCCTCCTCTCTAGATTCATAACCATGAATTTTCTCATGGTATCTTAAAATACACCTTTATTAAAACAGTCCAACATGAGCAAACACTAAATGACTAGGAACATAGTTTATGCTTTTAAAGGAAACTAGAACCCTTAATACATTGAGAGAACTGATTTATTTTTTGAAAACTGTCTTATTAATGCTTTATTTTTTTTCTTTCCCGTTATGAGTCATTTTCTTACAGATTCATTCCTCTTTGGGTGACATAAAACTGCAGGGTTTCAATTTGCTTATGTCCCTATTGATACGGAAAGCTCATTTTGAGTGTGTATGTTAGACAGTGCTGAAATCTTGATTCATTCTTCATTCAACGAGCATTTGTTGAGTGCCTTTTATGTCCCCAGCACTGGACAAAACCAAAAACTTGCTGGCTCATGGAGATACAGGCCAAAAACCAAACCAAACCCTTTAGTGCCATTAAGTGGATTCCGACTCATAGCAACCCTATAGGGAAAAGAACTTCCCCACAAGGTTTTCCTAGGCTGTAACCTTTATGGGAGCAGACTGCCACATCTTTCTCCCTTGGAGTAGCTGATGGTTTTGACCTGTCAACCCTTCATTTAGCAGCCAAGCACTTAACCACTGTGCCACCAAGTCTCCTTGGCACTGAACTCCATAAAAAAAAAAAAAAGGAAGGAAAAAAACCCCACAACCATCAAACTCACTGTCCTCAAGAAGTGGATTGCTACTCATGGGGACCCCTCCTTGGGTTTCTGAGGTGGTATTTCTATGGAAGTAGATTGCCCAGTCTTCCTTCTGAGGAGTGGCTGGTGGGTTTGAACTGCCAGCCTTCTGGTCAGTAGTCAAATGCCTTAGGCACTATGCTACCAGAGCTCCCAAGGAATTCAAAAGTTACTTTAACACTGTTCTGAAGTAGGGTGGGGAGAGTGATGAGTTGGTGAGATGAAGCTAAATAAAGAGCAGTAGAAGCCGTATCTTGACCTTTTAAGGTTAAGAATCTTAAAATAAGTGGTGAGAAGTTACAAGTGGTGAAAACTAAGATTAGTGAGGAGATTCAGATTCACGGTATTTCCTGTTGAGGAGGTTTGCTTTTATATTGACAGCAGGTTGAGAACCATGGAAGGATTTTACTTGGGAGAGTAATGATGGTCACTTTAAGGTTTTAAATAGACTCTGTGGGTACCTGAACCAAGGGAGAGAAGGAGACAGATTCAAGAAGTATAAAGGAATTAGCATCAACAGGACTATTGATCAAGTGGATATGGGGGATGAGGAAGAGGGTGGGACCAATGATAATTCTTGGGTATGTGATTTGGGCAGCTGGGTACATACGTAAGTCTTGTCATCCTGAGAAAAAGAACACAGGAGGAACTGGTTTTAGGGAAAGGGGCAAGGAGGAGGACAGGAAGATGATGTGGTCAAGTTTGGAACAAAGTGAGTTTGAGCTGCTTATAAGGAGCCCTGGCAGCACAATCGTTAAGTGCTCAGCTGCCAACCCAAAGGTTGGAGTTTCAAACCCACCCATGGCTCCATAAGAGAAAGACTTGGCCACCTACTTCCCTAAAGGCAGCTATAATATAGGGTTCAATATGAGTCAAAATCTACTCCACAATGCATAAGCTGCTGCTTATGAATCACTTCAGTGGAGAAGCCCTGTAGGAAGCTAGGAATTTGAATTTCCTCACTCATCTTACTTTTCACAGCTTCAGATAATGATCTGAATTTCCACACTTTTCAACTCATCCTCCTTATTTAGATATAAAACCCTCTCAAGGCTCCACTCAGGGGGCAGGAGTGCAGAGAAGGGAAGGACACAGAGAAGAGGTAACTATGAGGAGGAAGTGGGAAGGAAGCTGTTAAATTGTTGGAAACTGCAGTCAATGTCATGAGACAAAATGTGTATGAACCTCTGTATGGAAAATGAAATCACTCTGTAAACTTTCACCCAAATCACAATAAAAATTAAAAAACAAACAAAAACCCTCCCAAGGCTTATGTTTTCTAACTCTGGCTAGTTAGACTATAAATGCCTGCAGACTGCTCAGCTCTATAGCTCTTCTTACTTGGGATGCATGTTAAGGGCACAGCTCTGGGTCCACACACAATACTGGCTCAGCAACTTTAACCCTAGATGTCTTTAGGCAAGGTACCATTCCTAACCAAGCATCAGTTGCGGTGAACTGTCAAATGTGAACTAGAGATTATCTAACTTCCGGCTGATCCAATGATTAAATAATATATACAATGCCTTGCAGGAGAATTGCTATTGGCTGTGGGTAAGAATAATGCCTGCTGGCACATTTTGTAGACTGCAATTTGATTTTTGCTCTACCCAACCATCTCAGACTCTAACCAAACCCCTATACATATGAGTGAGAAGAGAGATGGATACAGCTGTAGCTCTTTTATGGAAATACTTCACTATCTGTATTTTTATTTTAACTAGGCCTCTTTTAATCAAAAGAAGTCTTTTCCTACTCAGCTCTTTATTTTCTGTTCCTTACCATTGATTTTGTGAGATGGGAGCAACTTGTTGGATTTGCTGACCCTAAACTAGGTTGTTTAACCACAAATCCATTACAATTGTTACTATATTCAGATATTGCCTTTTTTCCCCTTGAAAATTGCTTAAGATGAAGATTTTATAGTCTTTTCGGCTAAATACACCAATTTGAACAGAAAACCAAATGGGATTGGTTTCATCACAAAGTCAGACTTGGACTTGACCTAAATTATGGACAAAAACCTGAAATGACTTGCATTTACTTCTGAATCCAGAATCAAACCCAGATAGGCAATTTTATACTGAACATTTTTTTCCTTTTTCGTTTTTATTAACAAAACACTTAGTGAATCACTTTGAACCATATCCCAAACCTATATATTTTCTAAAACCACTGAGTCAGGATTGAATTGACATTCCATCCAGTTAAAATTTATAGTCAAACTTGGATGTTTTACTGGCAAAGCCATTGATCTACCATTTAGCTTTATTGCTTTCAACAGGATTGGAGAAGGAGGAGAAGACTTGCCTCAGAAAATAAATGAAAACACTTCATGTGTTCTCAAACATTCTCTAAATTAATCCTTTTCTTCTTATGTTCCAAATTACAGAAAGAAGGTGATGCTCATCCCAAATGCACACAAAATAGTGATTCCAACTTCTCTCTTGGTAATTTTCAGAGACTAATTTTCCAAAGTTGACGTACCTAATGGAAATCCCTCAAATGAATGGTTGTGCAAACTAACTACCTGGTCTTTTGTTCACGTCTGCCTTAGTTCATTACCGTTTCCCTCACCTAAATTGTACTCTGCCACCTCAGCCCCTCTTCTGCCTGACACACTCTTGAACATCTTGCAATTTGCACATTCAGTGCAAAAGTTGTCCAGTTCCCCTTGGGCAGCTTTCTCCTGTGCTCTCATAGCTCTTGTCTCCTACCTGTACTGTAAGCTTTCATGTTATATATCTGCCTCCTTCACTAACTCTGAAGGCTAAGTCACTATCGTTCCATCTCCATTGCCTAGCACAGTAACTGATACCTGTGTTCAGGGTTTGTTGAATTAATCCATGCCTGAACAAATGAATACATGGAATCAATTATCACTATGCAAAGAAATGCCTCTGAAAGGCTAGGGAGAGCCATCTTTAAGAAAATAGCAACACTTTCCCCTACCAGTGGCCTCCCTTACCTACCCACCCCACAACGGGCAAGCAAAATACACACTCATGTGCAACGGGATGTGCAAACTGCAAAAGTCTCTGCCAACTTTAGACAAAATTATCAGTCTCAAATTTTCCTGAAAAACCTAAATTTGTAGAATTTCTTTGTTCTTAGCACAATTAATAAAAATTAAATTTTTGAGAGCTCCCAGACAAAATGAAATCCACAGACCCTTTCTGCCTCTTGCCTTGCCTAGGTCCTAGATGCTGAAGAAAAAGCTATGACATAGTCATGGTAGTAAAAACCTGACCCAAAGACTCATGGGAAAGAGCAACTAGGAGAGGAAATGATCCTCAGCATCTTATGGAAGTTGATTTGGGATCCCCTGAACACTAGCCTGCTTGTCTACCTATCTCAATATTTCTAAGCCCGAAGATAAAGAGGCTTGGCCTATTTAGATTGTTTTAGATTGTTCCTGATCAGAAGAACACTCCAGAGCCAGGGGAAATTTGGAAAATCACTAGACCTGCATTTCTTTGACTGTTAAAACCAAACCCACTGCCACTGAGTCGATTCCTACTCATAGCAGATCCAGTTGGGTTTCCAAGGCTGTAAAAGTTTACAGAAGTAGATTGCCTTATCTTCCTCTCACAGAGCAGCTGGTGGGTTTGAACCACCAACTTTCAGGTTAGCATCGAAATGCCTTACCCACTATGCCACTAAAACTCCTTGAACATTAAAACCCCTTTAATCTCCACTATTACATTTGATCCTCATCACAAACCTGTAAATAAGACAGGGCAGGAATTACAACTTCATCTCACAATGGCCAGAGTCCAGCGGACTGACTTGCCTAAGGTAGCAGAATAAGCACTAGAACCCAGGTCTTTCAACTCCAAGCTTGGTGCTTTGGCATTATACACCACCATTTAGTTCCCATGTACATGAATAGACTTCCCAACTGGAACATAAACTCCTCTAAGAAATGATTTGCACGTATTTCTCGTCCTCCCTTGTATCCCAATGTTCAGCACAGGGATCAGTAAAATAAAAACATGATTGATTGAGCTACCTCACTTTTAGAAATTAACTTTTGGGTACTTTTCCCTCTTTTTCAGGTGGGTAGATGCAGTGGCAAACCTCATAGTAAATGTTAGCTAGTTCATTTTTTGGTGTCACCTGGGCGCTAAGTAGGGGAAGCTCTGGGTGGCGTAATGCCTAAGGCATTTGATTGCTAGCCAGAAGAAGGCTGACGGTTCGAACCTACCAGCCACTCCTCAGAAGGAAGATTGGGCAATCTACTTCCGTAGAGATACCAGCCTTGGAAACCCAAGGAGGGATCACTATGAGTCAAGTCAAATCGACTCAACGGTTTTCAGTTTGTTTTGGGTTTCGGTTTGGGTGGTAAGTCTGGACAGTTCTCCTAGATGTGTACCTTGTTGCCAATTGCTGCTTTTCCAAGCCACTCAATTGCTGTTTTGACCTTGTTCCTCTTTTCCTGTGTTGTACGCACTCAGCTCAAGAGGAGCAAAGACTAGATCAGTTCCATTTTTGGATTACTTAGAAACGGGAGTCCCTGGGCAGGAGTTCCTGAGTGGCACAAACATAATAACGACTGCTAATTGAATAGTTGGCAGTTCAAACCCTCCCATTGAAGATTCAAGAAGGTAGGCTTGGCCATCTGCTTCTGAAAGGTTTTGTCCTTAAAAACTCTAGGGGGTGCAGTTCTATGACACAAGGAGTTGCCATAAATTGCAATCGACTCATCGGCAGCTGGTTTGGTTTGGTTTAGAAGTGGAATAATCCTTAGCTCAATTGGTTAGTGGCTCAGGATTGGCAGTTCTTTCCCCCATCCCTTCAGTGCTTGCAGACAAAAGCTAAGCTACTGCTCTCTCACAGCTGGAGGTTGGAAGCAGCCCTGAAAAATAGCAGAAATTGTGAGCTCCTTAAGGGCAGAAACCACATCTCCCCATCTCGGTAAACCTCAAAGCTCCTGGGGCAAAGTAGGCACTCAATAAATAATGGCTGAATAAAGGAACTACTCCGAATTCATTTTAAGAGGAGGTAAAACTACCCAAGGTCACATATTGAATATTTGCATACAAAGAAATGAATTCTCAACACTGCCTTAAAGCATAGTCCTTTTTCCAAATAGCATTAGCATTTTTAAAAAAGGAGCCTCTTGGCTTTATTCAAAAGAGTAATTAAATGGTGAGAATTGTAGCAAGCTCAGGAGAGGTTTAGTGGAGGGTGGATGAAGGCCCTTTTGTTATCCCTTAAATTACACTAAGCTGATAGTTGTCCCCCAAGAAGGACTGCCTCTTAGTGGAAGTTTCCTCTGAAAGAGGGGCTAATGATCATTGAGTGAGACTATGGGTTGTACCATCTACTTTTATTCTGTCTTTCAGAGATAGGGATCCCTGGTCATCTGCTATTTATCACTTTGGCAGCCCTTTTGGTTTGGCAACTGTTTCAACATGTTTTATGAGTGATTTGGCATCTGGGTATGAGTTGGGCTGGTGGTATGGCCCTATTTCCCTGATAGTAAAACAAGCAGGGAGGTTATTTATCCCAGTGACTAAACTGGCACCATAACTCAATGCCCTGGCTCGTTCAATGTCCTAAGTTGCTCCAAGAAGAGAAAAGGCAGAAAAAGTGTCCATACCTAACACTCTGACGCTGAGGATGCCTTGGTTTTTGCCAACAAAGTCTGGAGGATTGTTAACATCACAGATGTAAATCCCGGTATCTGCTGGTTGCATATTAGAAATGGTGATAGATGCATTACCCGGTTGGGAGGACCCTACGATACGATCTTTAAATCGCCCAATAGCTGCAGCTTGTCCACCTTCAGAGTAGTAAATCTAGGACAGAAAAAAATAACAGTTGCATGAAATGAGAATTCAAGAATGCCCAGAGCTAGGATATTTTAAAACAAATAAAAACCTCACTGCCCTCAAGTCAATACCGACTCATAGCGATCCCCATTGGGTTTCTGAGGCTGTAAATCTTTATGTAAGTAGGTTGCCTGTTCTTCCTTCCACAGGGCAGCTGGTGGGTTTGAACCACCAACCTTCTGGTTGGCAGTCAAATGTCTTAGGCACTATACCACTAGAGCTCCTTGGAGTTAGGAAAAGCTACCTGAAAAGCCCCCTCTATTCCACTGGAAGCAGGGCCTGGTGGCAACTAGTTCTCAACTCAGTGGAGCCCTTTCATTTTCTCACAGTTGCTCACTGTCATTACCTCATATATACCTCAAAATACCACCTCTGAGATGTCACAGGGTAGGGATGGTTATGCATATCTTACAGATGAGCAGACAGCCGGAGTTTCTTTCTTTTTTTTTTTTTTTTTTTTTTTTACTACTTTATAAGCTTTTCTTGATTTGAGATTATCTTACCCAGTGGGACTATCTGGTTGCTCTAAAAGTTAGAGTGTTTATTCCCATTTTGTACACACATATTTCTTTGGATAAGGAAATGGGTTCATTCTTTCTGTTTGTTATAAGAGTAATATTTAAAGAGACGAAAGCCCCCTGAAAAACCATCTGGGTCCCATCCACTTATAGTTGTGTTGTGAGGACGAAACAAAGTAATTTAGTTAAAAAAAAAAAAAAAAAGGAGGAGGAAAGAAACAAATCTCCACGACCCCGTGTGTCAGAGTGGAACTGTGCTCCACGCCATTTTCTCTGGCTGACTTCAGAAGCTGATTGTCAGCCTTTTCTTCCAAGCTGCCTCTGGGTGGACTTAAAACTCCAATCTTTTGATTAGCAGCTGTTTGTACCACCTGGTAAATGCTTACTTAGTGGTAGCTGCTATTTTTCTCCCCACATGGCTGGAGTCAGAACTGGAATTATATTATTTAGATAAATAAGAAAACTCAGACCCAGAGACATTAAATGACTTGTCCAAAGCCATAGGAATTCATTTCTTATTATTTTAATTTACTAGCTTGAGAAAGGCCTGGAGTCTAGTTCCACCTCCATTCAAGAACACGGATACTCAGATCATAACGACAATTGTGGGAGCAGCATAGTGTGGTGGAAAGACACCTGGCCTAGGAGTCAGATGATCTGGGTTTTAGCCTCATCTCTGCCTCTAACTGTGACACAGCCAGAGGAGGTAGCCTCTAGTCATGTCTCCATAGCAACATGCTTTGTGACAAGAAACAAGTTATTTAATATCTGCAACCTTTGGTTTGTACACCCGAAAATGAGAAGCCAGAGCAGTGGTCTGTGAAGTATGAATATACATTCTCCAAGTAAACACAAACTGAGTTTAAGGGTACCTCCACGAAAATTTTAAAAGTTTAATGCATATTAGAAAGAGACAGATCTAGCACATCAAACCTGTGTAAGGTAGATACTGTTAAGATTTAAAAAAAAAATACTTCTAAGTCGATTTTACGAAAATTAGTTAAATCCACTAGACTAGGGTAAATCTGAAACAACAAACTTTTCCCCAGATAGATCTTGTTTAACGTAACAAACTCAAAAGCCAGTATTAAGTCAAGGTATTCAATTTAGAGAACATTGAGTAATAGTGAAAGTGATAAAAATTTTGACAAAAAAAATCAATGAAGATGATACATGAATGACTGAAGCTTGGGACTCACTGAAACTAAGTAATCCTTTAAGTCCTTTCATAATACACATATTCTATGTACATACTTTATTGTTGTTGTTGTTATTTGCCATCGGGTCGGCCCCGACTCATAGTGACCCCTCCTTGGGTTTCTGAGGCAGTATCACCACGGAAGTAGGATGGCCCAACCTTCCTTCCGAGAAGTGGCTGGTGGGTTTGAACCTCCAGCCTTCTGGTGAGCTGTCAAGTGCCTTAGGCACTATGCTACCAGAGCTCCTACATACTTTATTAGTTTCATATAAATGTGCGTAATTTGAGTGATTATTGTTTATTATTCAATAAACTGATATGGCCCTAATCCAGTGGATCTAATTAATATTTTCATGAAAGCTCTTGTAGGGACTTTAAGGTTTATTTAATTCACTGCCCTCACTTTATAGAAGATACTATGGCCCAGAAAGAAAAAAAAAGACACATACACAAAATTAACAGTTAGGACAAGTTGTTCTTTCTTTCAATAGACCAATGAAAGAGGTAAGGCAATCAGAAAACCAAAAGATCATGTCTAGATGAATTTAAATGTATTCTCCTTCAAGCAGAAGGTCAATCTATTTTTAAACTAAGGCAGAAAGGTAGATTTTTAATGGAAAACTCCAAGTCTGTTTAAGGAAAAAGCAACTTGTTTCTTACCTCTGCTGTTTCTAACATCAACTTGCTTGATTTCTTGCCCTAAGGCATCCATTTAGAATTCATCTATTCACACCTATTGAAACCACAAGCTCTTGCCCCTGAGGGATTGTGTTTGACTTAACTAACCCAAAAGCCAGTATTGTTGTTGTTGTTGTTGTTATGTGCCGCCAAGTCGGCCGACTCCTTGGGTTTCCGAGGCAGTATCACTACGGAAGTAGGATTGCCCAACCTTCCTTCCGAGGAGTGGCTGGTGGTTTTGAACCGCCAGCCGTCTGGTTAGCAGGCAAGTGTCTTAGCCACTATGCTACCAAAAGCCAGTATTACAGTATTATTAACTCAAGGTACATGAATAGGACAGGAGGAGGCACAACTCCTTAAAGATCTCTGGCCTTCATTTGAGTTGACACAAAATCCAGCTTTCAATTTCACTACCCAATACCAAACTTCTTGTTGTTATTTGACATGAAGTCAGACCCAATTCATAGCAACCCCTCCTTGGGTTTCCGAGGCAGTATAACTATGGAAGTAGATTGCTCAACCTTTCTTCCGAGAAGTGGCTGGTGGGTTTGAACTGCCAGCCTTCTGGGTAGCAGTCAAGTGCCTTAGCCACTACACTACCAGAGCTCCTACACCAAACTTATTTACCTCCTAAGAGAAACTTGAGGTCCTGTTGACTCTTACCTGCAATACAGACATCAGTCCATCAGAAAAGCCCTTTGAAACTAGGTATCTGGCCGCTTCCCCTGCTCTCAGGAAAACTGGGGAGAGGGCAACTCAGGTATGCTAATGCTTGATGACATCACAACGAGACACAGCACCCAGCCCTACCTAAGGCCCACAGTAAATCCCAGAGGATTTAAAGAACCTTGTTTCTGCAGAGGCGACTAACAGAGTGGGTTTTAAGCTGGGACTAGGACAAGGATGGGCTCAGGTATAGCAAGGATCACGAGGCTGGCACAGGACCAGGCAGTGTTTCGTTCTGCTCTGCAAAGGGTCACTGTGAGTCTGAGATGACTTGACAGCACCTAACTACAGCAACAACAGGACAAGGAATAAGGTCAATGGCAAAGTCTCATAGCTGGGCATGAATCAAGGTGAAATGAGCAAATAAGCTTAAGGCTCAGGAGCCTTACCTATGGAAAGACCCTTTTCCACCCTAGCTCCCCACACTGTAGTCTAATCTTTGCCCTCTCGGAAATGATATCAGGGATAGGAATGGGAACGAGGAAGAATGACACTGGAAACCTGAAAGGGGAAGACAGCTTAAGGACGCTGTGTAAAAAAGAAAATTCCCAGGGCTAGACAGAATTCACACACACAGATGGAGGGACTTTCTGTCAGGCGAAGTTCACACTGTCACACTGTCCTTGCCAAAGAAAAAAAAAATTTCCCTGAAACTGCTTATCTAATCACACAGGAAAGACTGCAACTTGGTTCCATTTTCCACAAAACAGTAATTCCTTTAAAAAAAAATCAAAGCAAAACAATGGCCGAGGCCAGGTTCATGATCCTACGTGGCTTGTACATTTTTCAAAGAAAGAACATTGTCAATTTAATGATCAAAGCAATTGAGAGACAGGAAAATTTATAAATGTTCAACAAGCCACATCCTTTGGTAGGCAAGGTCCTGCTTTAAGAAAATCCATCCAAGTGTTCCTTTAAGTGGTACTTGTTAATTTTTTACCCACTTGCCACTTTTGTTCATTTTTTACCCACTTGCCCTTTGTGGCTGTGCCCCAATATCCTCCATGGAACACCACCCATTCCTTCCCTTCTAGCTTCTTGCTTGAGAGGCCTAGCTGTGTGTGTGAGGGGGTTTCGGGGGGGGGTGCAGAATTTTCTTTGGACTGAACTTGTAGGCTGGGATTGCACATCGAAGAAATAGAACATCAAAAGGAAGACTCCTGCCTAACACACCACTCTTAACAGCCTGCCATTAGCCTAAGAGTTCCACCATTTAAGTTGCTACTTTTGGTGAAGCTATAGAGAATCCCTGCTTTAATGCATTCCTTTGTAAACGAACAAAATAAGTTATCACTAGTCCCTAACACTTTACCTTGAGATTAAATTATCAGATTTAGCAAGAGTAGATACCTGAGTGAATGGGACACAGTATAGATAAACTTTGAAGGGGGTAGCATGGGAAGGGAAGATAATGTCATACTTCTCAATGAAGGTGATACTGATCTTTTGGACAGACAATTCTTTGTTGTGTGGTTCTGTCTTATGTATTGCAGTACATGTACCATGTGTATCCTGTACCCATTACTGTGAGTTGATTGTGACTCATAGCAACCCTATAGAACAGAGTAGGACTGCCCCATAGGGTTTCTAGGGCTATAATATTTACAGAAGCAGACTGCCTCATCTTTCTTCTGTGGAGTAGCTGGTAGATTCGAACCACTGTCCTTTTGTACAGTAGCCAAATGCTTTAACCACTGCACCACGAGGACTCCTTAGCACATGTAACTACCATCCACTAACTGTCACTAGTGACTCCCAGTCATAACAATCAAACCAACACCCCTTGTCATAATTTCAAGTGTCCCCAAGGAGGTGGCATCTCCCCTCCCTCATTTGACAAACATTTTATATGCTACCTGTAAAAGGACAAGCCAGGGTGGAAGTCTGAGCAGAGAGAAAACATGACACCACTAGGTTCTGGGAAAGAAGTTGTCCAAGCTGTGTGTGTGGGGGACATGACAATAGCAAAGGATCTCTTCCACTATGGATATCTTAGAAGAATAAATAGCATCTAAGCAAGGCCAGTGCCTGGTTCTATTAATGGGCAGCTGAGGGCTCTGTGATTTGACCAGTGCAAGGCTGAGTGCAACTGGAGGCCATCAGTGGGACCAGAGGGGCACCAGACCCACCCAAAACATCCATGCTAGCTCATCCTGGAACCCAGAGTTTCCAGCTGAGTCCTTCCTGAGGGACTGACCATCTGAAGTTGTTGGTGTTTCCTGGGAAGAGGACTCCTCTGAGAGGAAGATCATGCTAATGAATATCCTGGCCATGAGACTTGTAGGGAATGTCTGTGGTCTCCACTCCCCAAAGGACTCCCTTGGCTGGGATTGTCCGTAAGATATAGCATCCTCCTCTAGGTATCAAGAAAAATCAGACCTTGGACTCCATTTCTGCTTAACACGACAATTTTGGGGAAGAGAAGAAGATGGCCTATGACAGGGATTGGCCACTGCCCTGCTCAGGGCAGCATTAGGGCCCTGAACCTTTTGAAGGAGCCTGAAAAGAGTTCCAGACATGGATGTGAGAAGGCAAACTCATTAAAGTCCCAGTTTTGGCAGGGTTTTAGCTTGATCTGGATTGTTGCCAAACTCAGACCTTCCCATCCCACCCTCAAATTTAGTGCCATTGTCTTAGAGACCCTAGTAGTACACCAATAGGGATCTAGTAGTACACCAACAGTTGTTCTTACCTGAGAGGTCCAGCTACATCTTCCCCGAGCGTCTCTTGCATGCGCCATTTTTAGACACTGACTGACTGCCTTTTCCTCCATACCCTCAGTATTGAGGCACGAGCTGTGCTGTGTTTGAGCAGAAATGGGTGGATCTGAGAGCCAAGTGCTATATGGTATATTGCCACATCAAACCGGGAGGAGTTGAACTAAATTACTCAGTGGTCAGTCTGGCAACATTTTACTCCCACATAAACCACAGAATTGTCTCATAGCACAATAGTCTCTTTCTAGCATCCCCAAAATGTCCTACTAGCAGTCTCTACATTAACATACAAGGGGTTTTGCAGAAGTTTGAATGCATGGAAGTGCTCAGAGGAGACAAACTAGAAATGGAGGCCAAATTCCTTTTGAAAACTGTCATCTCAACCAAGGGTGTCTGTCCAGGAGTTCCATACAGGATGATGACTAGGCAGAGAAGGGGCCTGGCATGTTCCCCTAGCCACAGGCTCATGCAGACAAGGGTATAGGGTGGGGTGGCAGGATATCCCCTAAAAGTGGCTCAGCTACACTAAGTGTACTCTGTTGGACTGAGTTCCCCAGTCCATGACAAGTCTCTGGTCCACCAGGGGTATGGAGGGATAGGGATTGTGCAAACTCATCATTTTGTGAGTAAAAACCAACAACCAAACTCACTGCCATAGAGTCAGGTCCGACTCATAGCGACCCCTCCTTGGGTTTTTCAAGGTGGTATCACTACAGAAGTTGATTGCCCAACCTTCTCTCCCAGGAGTGGCTGGTGGGTTTGAACTGCCAGACTTCTGGTTAGCAAATGCCTTAGGCACTATGCCACCAGAGCTTTCGTTTCTGTGAGTAGTGATGCTAATAATAATAATAGCTCACATTCATTGGCTGCTTACTACGGAAAAGGCTTCTAAGTGCTTGACAAGCATCATCTCATTTAATCTTCACAGTAAAACTATGATGGGTCAAAAGTCACATTTTACAGATGAGAAAATAGAACCGTGAAAGACTGACTTTTCTGAGCAAGTAAGTGGCAGAGCAAGGAAAACTAACACCAATCAGGAGGCTTCCTGTGGGGGTCCAAATCATCCGGCAAAGCAGAGAGAAGCACAGGCCTGGAACATATGGAGTGAAGGGAAGGGGAGCAGTTCCAGTTCTCTTGCAGTAGAGACCTAAAGATGGTTGTAATGGGAATTTGACTGGGGCAAGCTAAAGCAAGACTGGAGTAGAGTAGGAGGAGAAGTTTAGCACAATTTGTGGGGGTGGTTTTCACTGTACTCTAAGCCAAGAGCTGGCTCTACTTTACCTTGTCCCCTATGCTGCCAAGCCGGGGACATAATTCAGGTCTCAGGCACCTGGAGGAGTATCTGAAATGTTTTAAATCAAGGAGCATGTTCTCACTGGTCCAGCAGCTCAGTGCTGATTTCTTCCTTGATTTCGACATTCCAAAAGAACAAATACTTAAGTTACTTGCCCCACCTGGACCTGACATTTGGAGAATAAGGCAAATGGCAAGTAAATAAGCTGTTCAATAAATAGCTATTTGTTAATAGAATTATTTTTTAAAGTGCTTCTAAGAGACATCCTGAGCTCAAGCCATACTGAGTTCAATCACCTACACCTTCTTCATCTGCATCTCCAGATCTAGAAAAAGCTCACTGCTGCTCACGAGATCCTCTGGCCCTACAGCTCCCAGATCCTCATCAACTACACAGTTGGAGAGAGGCAGTCTTATTCATTCCAGTGTCAGAGGAGACATAAGGAAGTATCTGTGTTTTTGAAGTCACCCTGGCCTAGCCTAGCCTCCAGGCAGTTGACAACAGCTTGATGTGAGTACTAAGCACAAAAAAAAAATCTCAAAATATGTTGGCAGGGTCTCTCTAAATTCAGCCCTTCCTGGCAAAATGAGGGCTTCAAACCTAGAGATAATAAAGATGCTGAGAAATGAATCAGGAAATTGAGTGTGAAAGGGAGAAAGAGTGTGTGAGCATTGTCATTCACAATCTAACAGAGCAGCCTCCAAAGGGAAGGGTTGATTTCTTCTTGACTTCAACAGGCAAGGTCTTCTGTCAGGGTATTTTGGTTGACAGAAATAGGTAGAATTACTACTGCTGCTGCTATTGATGAGGAAGAGGAGGAGAATAACAATGAAAATAGTAATAGCAGTGTTTACAAGGGAGAAAACATAGAGGGCTTTATATTTTTTCCAAATGTTTTCACATACAGTATGTCAGTTGAAAGTCCACGAACAATGTAGGAGAGTATTACTGTACTACCATATTTTAAAGAAAAGCACAGAGAGATTCAGGTATTTGTCCAAGGTAAGCAGAACTGAGAAAAATTGTTTAACTTCGACTAGAAGGTGGTGGTATTGATGGGATCGGATCTCCTCCACAGTGCTTCCTGCTAAATGAGGGTTTAGGACTTCTGGCAAAGAGAGGACCCAGTGCTCCCAGGGGGCCAGTAACACAGTGAAAAGACACTAGCTAAGATGTGGCTCCTGCAAGCCAACACCCTTCTCTCCACTTCTGCTCCTGGGTCTCCCCAGCCCACTCAACATGCTCTCCCCTCTATCTTTCTACAAACTAAAACCCTTCCTTTCCTTCAAGCCCAACTCATCTGCATTCAACTATTCCAAACCACATTGATTTGTCTCTTCTCTTACCACCCTGTTTGGACCATAGATTCTTTTGAATTTGCAAGGAATTTGTGCAGGGATGCATATACATGAGTCACACACATATGCACACACACTTTTGAGTACACAATTTGAGTAATTGGGCTAATTTAAAGAAGGAATTACCCTCAAAGCCAGATGAAGAAAATCTGGGAAGTAGGCAGCTTATATGGGGAATCCTCCTCCTCCTCCTTTGACTTTTTCATCCATCCTCCTGTAGGAACTTCCTCTTCCAGATGCTATGCCTACCTATCCTAACCTGCATCTTTCTAGCTTCATGCTGCCCTTGATTATACAGGGTTTGTCCCTGCCATGGCCCTTCTCCACCAATCTGTGCAGTCTAATTCTACCAGGAATCAGTTTGGCATGGAGAACTGGCTCACTTGACAGGCAGACCCCTGATATTAAGCTTGACAGAGACCTGTAGGTCAATTAGGACATGTACCTGAACTGGGGTCTTCTGTAAATAATCAAGAAGGTATTTTGGGGAAAAGTATTTTCAGAGCTACTGCTCATTTCATCTATGAGGTTTATTCTTGTCCACTATGAAGACATGATATACTTGATGTTGACTGACACAGAATTGAGATAATGGACTATAACTAAATATGAAGAGAAAACAAAGTCCAAACCACTAAGATGATGGTCCTCCCTAAACCACTCTCTTCAAACTCTTTTTATCTGAGATTGTGCCATTGTTATCACCGATCTACTATTCTTTCAGACATTGACCCAACAATTTCCAGTTAGAACTACCAAAAGTAAACAGTTCGAGAAAAGAGTCCTTACGGAAACAGGCTGCAACTCCTTACGGAAGAAAGACCACTGGATGACAAGCTTCTCCAGGGAGGTCACAGTAGTGGTGTAGGTGCAGATGAGAGTGGCATCACATCCAATAGTCACATTCACGACACTATCTGGGA